ACAGAAATAATAGTTTTTTTTTGTTCAAAAGGTTGGGAGGACTCTGAGAGAAAAGACCCGACGATATGTTTCTTTCTTGCTGTGGTGACACGTGTCTTACTCGATTTGACAGAAGGTCACGACTTGATCAACCATTGTCTATTTTCTCTAAAAGATATGTTTTTTTTCGAACGAATGCAATCTCCTTCTCTGAGAACTAAAATTATTCCTTTGTACTTCCAATGGCATTTAAACGATTTATAAAAAACTGCATTCATAGTCAAGGCCGGGGCTTCGAGTTTCCAGTTGGATGTTTAGAGTTTTGGACCTTTTGGTGAAGACGGTTGGTGGTTTAGACGTGTGTCTCAAGATGCATTACAATTGTGAACACATTGTGCAACGATCGTAATTGTGGTGCACATGCAATTTTCTAGATCGTTGGCTGGTGATGATAAGTTGATCAAAAAGAATATTATCTATTCGAATAAGTTAAACAATTAAAGAAAACAATATAAAAAAGGCTCATACAATTTTGTCAATCAGTTTCTAGAAGAAATCAATCAGGAAACTATCAAAATCATAGAGATGATGCATTCGTAATGTAAATATGGTGTTATTACATGAATTCATGCCGACCAGAGACATTATTCAGTAAGATACTTTTTTTTATCAAACAAAGGAAAATCATCAAACAATTCCGAACGTATAAAAGATTATGCATCAATGAAACGTTACAATGCGAGTAGAGCAAGCACATATATTGACGCAAAAAAATTCTGAAAGGAAACATACCGAGAGAGAACAAAGGAAAAAAGATCGATCAAAGACGAATATTGGAACTAGAAAACGGGTAAACAATGATCCAATCATGTCCAGATATGATTTTTCAAGATATGAGATGAGGGTGATCGCTCGCATCGAGGATGCAAAAGTGTTGGAAGGAGTTGATTTAAGGGAACTAGAAGACATGAACGACATTGTTCACCGACAATGATAAAAAAGTCTTTTAACAAAACTACACTAAACATTGAAGTCGTTCAATGTTTTCTTTATCTCTCTTTTTGTAGCATATTTCGGATGAGAGAATGTAGAATTCCATTCTCCTTTTTTTTTTGTGTGCCATTAGTATATTTCTACTCAATTGTAATTTTGGGTTTTCTATTAACGTATATATAGCAAAAAGAGAGTTGATGACATAACCCATATAAAATTTCACGTTGATTCTTACGTGGCAAACCAGATTTTTAGGAAAATAATTAAAATGTTGTACAACAAAAACAAAGCTAATTAAGAGACATGTACACTAGCGACAATAACATGCCGATGAAGATCCGAGCCATATGAAATGCAACAATGGGCTCATCGGGATATATGGAAAGGTGGATGAAAGTGACTTTTACAAAAGAAAAATTGAAGAAATAAATTTTAATTCGAAAAATATTTTTATTTCTTGAGGATTTTTTTTAGTTCAAAAGTGAATTTTTTTGACAGTTCATTTTTCAAAATACATTACTATAGAAAAATTGTGAGCGCGGGTTAAAAATCTAGTATGTTATAATATTTTACGAAACAAATGTTGTATTTAAAACGACCTCCGAGAAGTGATGGGTTCAAGATGAGCACGTTAAGATTCCACTAACTTTGTGAGTTATATATATAGGTGATTACTCCT